AATCCATCGGCAGCTTGCGCACCCGGGACCTGTTGTGTGGCGTGTGGAGGCTGGCTAAAGCCCGCGTTTGGCTGATTATTGTGACGAGTCTCTGCAGCATGAGCCTCTCTAGTCGGTGTTGACGCCATGTATGCCTGGGAGGCGGCTTGACCCAGGGGCTGAAGAGCTCTGGAAGACCGGGGCTGCCCCGAGTCACTCAGAAGGGGCAGATGCTCTGCCTCTTCATACATCAGCCTCTGTAAGCGGGAAAATACACGAGATCCATCCTGAGGCGAAGCAGCTGGATGATCGTTGTTTCCATGGTTAGGAGTCGTCGCCGGAGTTGTCACCGGAGCTATCGCTGCGGGCTGTTGAGCTGCAGGCACTTGCGGCGACACATCATCGTCTTCAGGCCAACTCGGGATGGGCGGATAGAAGGTGGTCAATCCTTCATTCGTGATGTACTCCCGAAACCCGAGTGGGTTCGCCGCGGAAGCAGCTGTCGCGTCCCTAAATTCAGCTTGATCCCAGACGTCTTGCAAGGTGATTGGAGGCAGTAGAGTAAGAGCGGAAATACCCTCATGCGCCTGACGGTTCTCAGAACGCACTTGGTCGATAGGCTGAACGTCCGCCTCGTTTCCGTGGATGTTTTGGACGCCCGAATAGTCGTCAGACGGAACAGCTTGACTAGTGGTATTGGAAGACTTCTAGTTCCGGGGCACGTTGGCAAGCAGTGTCATTGTCTCCACCTCGAAATCGGCTCCATTCGGCAGCTTTTGTCCCTTAGGCAGAGCAGCCGCGACGGAGACGTCGATTTCATTGACCATCCCAGCCTGGAGCTGAACGTCAAAGACTCTAGCGTTGACGGGGAGCACCTGACCCTGAATGGGATGAGATTGCTGTACAGTAGACCGGTTTACCTGCACCCACAATCGCCACTGACGTCCTTCCTTCTCAAGGAATAGCGGCAAAGTCGCAATGACCTGAAGTCTCAGCTGGGTGGCGGGGACATGAACAGTCACAGACTGCTTGCACTCTCTTTCGAGGGGTTTTAAGCTCATGTTGAAGCGACTTCCGTGAGTGATCATTGGATGAGCCTGGATAGTCAGATTGGTGATGAGTGCATCGGCAGCGCCTGGGAGCTTGATTAGTGATATAGTCATTTTCATCTCTCTCGCACTATACGTACTCTTGCCAGGCGCACGGAACTGCTGATCCCACAGAGGTTTCGGAGGCGGCTGTGGGATGGCATTCGCCTGCGGTTGAGGCTGCACAATTCCAATGGGTTGGAACGTCGCGCTGGATAGGTTTGCTGTCTGTCCCGCGGGCGGCGGGAAAGCGGAAGGCGTGCTGGGTTGACCGGGAGTCACTGCAGGCGAAGGTCGTGCTGCGTCCTCGCGCTTGATGTTGTTCGTGACAGAGGGGCTCGGGGATGCGACCGATGTGCTTCGGAGTCTGTCCATCGCAGCGGAAGCAGCTGGTAGTCCACTCTGGCGAGCGGTACCATTGCCAAGTGGCGCCTGATCACTGACGGCGGCTCCGGCTGCCTGGGGAACTGTGGGGGCCGGCGAGTCCGCGGAATCACTCTTGCCCCCAACATGGATGGTGATCTTCTTAGATGTGGACGGCTGCTCAGTGGCCGACTGCTGGACCTTAAGCTTGATCTTGGGCTGCGAAGGCTCTGAAACAGCTGCCTTGGCCTTCTTGATTTCAATAGCGAAGAATTCCTACACCCTTGTCAGAAGTTGATCTCGTAGTCGTTAAGGTGAGGCATACCTGAAGTTCTCGCGCCAGTTCATAGATTTCGCTTCCTTCTTCGTTGTAGTACTTGGCGTTATCCCACAGCAAGCTGGCTGCTTCTTCGAATGCCGCCCAGCTCTTCAAGTCGCTAATCCCGGTGGCCTCGTTGCGTCCATGAATGCCCTTCGTGGCCTTCTGAAGCTTTCTGAGGGACATGGGATCCTTGACGACTCTGTAATAGTCTTTCAAGGCTCGTGGAGGAAGGTTGATGAAGGGTTCAAAGTAAGCCTCGTCCTCGCTAGGCGGCGTGTTAGCATGATCCATAGCGATGAAGAGAAGGGTTCACTTACTCAGCTTCTTTCTTGCGAATCATTTCCTCCACAATCTTTTCTTGAGCTGCCTGGAAGTTGAGGCCCTTGTACGAGACGCCCTCGTATTCATAGTCAGGGCGACTAGGCGTGGCATTTCGAGCATGCGATTTGCGAGATGTCACAGCCCTGGACGATGACGATCTACCCGGTCCTCTGCGGCGGATAAGAATAGTCGGCTTGGAGTTCTGGCTTCCCTCGTCATCGTCCTCCTCGCCCTCCGCATCGTCATCTTCCTCTTCATCTCCGTCCTCTTCTTCTGCTTCAGCTTCTTCTCCCTCTTCCTCATCATCTTCCTCAGCATCTTCCTGTTCCTCAGGGGATTTTGCGGCACCCTGTGGCTTCTCAATGTCGTCGTCTTCGGCTTCGTCCACGCGGTGGGCGGGCAGAACGGTCGGGACCGCAGTATAGCCGCCTCTAGCATAAGCCGGGTTGGTCTTGGTCATGAAGTTGCTCAGAGCTTTGCGAACTCTCTCAGCGTCGTCAAACTGGGGAGTGCTCCTCGAGTAGTAGTCCTTCGCGTTGGACACCATGCGCTTGAAATAGCTCTCGAGTTCGGTGAGAGTCGAGAAATCGCCATTCTTGAGCTTTCTTTCGATTATCGAGAGCGAAATCGGCATCCTCGTTTTCTTGTAGTATTCGGCGTTGCCCTCTCTCGGCATCAGCTTCTCGAAATACACTGCGACCTTGCGACCACTAGAAGAGTTGGAAGATTAGCACACGCCGCTATGTCTGATTTGCAGATGACACCACTGCAATCAAAAGTCCAAGACACATCAAGTCGATGTGGAAATCGACTTGAGCTATGCCATAGCTAAGATGAGTAGGTAGGTAGACTCACTTCTTGTCTTGAGTCCGGCGGATCTGCTCGAGGAAGAATAGGCCATGTTCGGTGGTTGACTCGACCGTCTCCCCCTTGCTGAGGTCATACTTCTGCGAGGGAGGAAGAAATGTTAGCTGTTTTGTTTAAGAACCGCAGTGTCTAGGAGTCAGAGAAGAGAGTGCGCTGAGAGAGTCTAGAAAATTCGGGAAACGGCCGAAAATGGGCATGATGGAGGGAAGTGCAAGCCAAAGGATGCCCAGGCCAATGTCACTTATTGCGGTACCAATGGATCGCAAGTCAGGTTCCTCGTGAAGCCCTGTGAAGGACGACACAAGCAGGAAAAGCTTCCGTCGACAGGTGAGGGGTGCATTTGGGGGTGTAAAGGACAATGGGAGCTCACCTCAGTCAGTCTCTGGCGTTTTGCAGCGCGTTCGTCAGCTTCATTCGCGCCATTGACGGCGGATGATCTCCGCTTGTTGTCCATCAAAAAGGTGAGGACAATGGTCGCGGACGCATGCGCTTTTTGCTGAGAAAGTAAGAAAGAGCTGTTTACTGTATTGTGCCTGCAATGGGTGACGGCAGGTGGCAGCCTTTGTGTGGGTGAGGTGGTGGTGATGCTGCAATTGCGACTGGATTGCAGAGACGCGTCGGGTTGGAGATGGAGACGGAGCGGGTAAGGAAGGCAGGTTCGGGGCAAGGTTGTTGGCAGACAGGGCTGTAGACGGAACCTCGTAAGGTAAGGTACGTAGCGCAGACCGAAGTATGGAAGGTACCTAGGTAGGCAGGTCCCCGGAAGTGATGCAGCCCTCCCCACTTTTTTTTTCTCGGGTTGAGATGGGGGTAGCTCGAGATCTGAGATACCAAAAAAGCCCAGGCACTCAAGTGGGATTATTTTTTTTCTGGCGCGATGAGCTTTCGCGCGAAGGTGCAGGTGGCAGGTGGTGAGTAGGTAAGTCTTTCAAGGTTGGGGATGCTAGGGGGATTTCCTCTGGGAATTTCGGGACGGTGGTATTGACCTTTTGCGCTGGCCACTGAACAGCAGGAGCACCCAGAAGGAGAAGGTACGAGGATGAGGTATCTCTCTCGGCGACTTCCTGCCACCTTATGCCTCAGGAACCCATTACAAGGTGCGTGGGTGCCTTTTTCTCAAGGCGGATTTCCAACTCTGGCCAAACTGAATTGACGGGCTGGTAGTAGTGCTGCCAGGTGGCAGGAATAGAATGGGTCCCGTCTACGCCGTTGAGAACTGCAAAAGGGTAAGGTAGGCTGCAAAAAGTTTCGCCCATGGCATGGACTGTGCTCATTCTCAAATGGAAGTAGGTATCTGGTCAGTGGAGGGGAACTTTCAAAATTGCAGTGAAATCAGCTGAAGCTGGACTGCATGCACAGCAGCACAGCATCCCGAGTACAAAGTAGATTTAGATGTTTTCCAGGTTATTTAAGGCATGTAAGAATGCAGCACCACAGCACTTGAGTACTTCTTCCAGGCCAGGCCAAACCGGGCCTGGGGCGGAAGTTGCCGGCAAAAACGCCTCGGACCCTGGGGGCCAGCAGATGATGGCAGCGCTGGGGTTCAAAGTACCTCAGTGAAATCCAATCCGACTTTTGTTTACTGCTCCGTATCTTTGCCCACTCTTTGAATAATAACCCCTCGATGCTGCGCGCGCCAGCCTCCCTCGAACATCATATTTCTGACCTCGAGCTCCCTCGTTACTTCCCATCTCCTCCTTCGAGTCAGTGGTGCAGCTGAACCGTTGTTTCAGTGCCAATTCCTGCCTACCCCGCCTGCATCGTTGTTTACCTTTTTTTTTTTCTCTCTTCCTCCCCTTCCTCTTCCCCTCCGACTTGGCTTGGTGTGTGTGGTCGCCTGACCTGCCGGAAGAACTGGATCTTTCGCGCCCTCAGACTCCTCTTCTGCACCCGAGAGCATATCGCCAGTCTCCGACAGCTTCGCCCGTCGCTTGACCCCTTCGTCCCTCGCAAACGAGCTACCCCGCCGATCGCGTCCGCGGTTACGTGCCGAGACTCGACGCCACTCTCGATCCCACAGACGCACACCCCCATCACAAGACAGACGAACCGCTTCCGCCATGGATATCGACATGAGCCGTCGTAACAAGGTCCCGCGGGCTTTGTCCGACTCAGAGAGGGCCCGTTTGGACGAGTTCATCGACTCCATCCACTACTCTGCACGGTAGGTTGTCGTACTGTTTCTCATCCTACCGCAATTCCATTGACCGTGGACTAACTTGCTTGTCTTTTCCCTTCTAGATACTCTGACAGCGAGTACGAGTACCGGCATGTGCAGCTGCCCAAAGCCATGCTCAAGGCCATCCCTAAAGATTACCACGACTCTTCCCACGGAACACTGAAGCTGCTCTGGGAAGAGGAATGGCGAGCGCTCGGCATCACTCAGGTATGCCTCGCGGCCCCCATGAGGCCCCTCTGCAACGCACAATAGAAGGCTAATGTTAGGAACATAGAGTTTGGGTTGGGAACACTACGAGGTCCACGAGCCTGAGCCGCACATTCTACTCTTCAAGTTGGTATACCCCTCAATCCGATCAGTTGTGCGTATTACTCACACCGATCAAAATAGGCGCCCACTCAACTACCAGCCTCCCCAGTGAGAACGGCATAGCGAGAAACGTCTCGTTACCCTGCAATCGCAGTACAAATTCCCGCTCCCCGCCCAGCAGACTTCTGCTTGGGCGATGCTCTTAACGACACGAATGACGGCCAATGATGATGGAACTTTTCTCTTTAGATATTCAGGAGAAGAGGTTGAGAGATAATGATACCTCGTCCTTGCAGACCACGGCACACGGTATAAAGACGGCGCATACCACTATGGTTGTTGCATTTTCTTTTAGGTGGTTTGAGTCATTGGGGATCTGTTGGTGTTGGGTTGTTTGCTGCATGTCTGGAAGTTGAGAAATGGTCTCGTCTGATGAGAGGTCTGTTGTCCTGCATCACGGCCATCGTCTATGCCACGCTGTCGCTGTTGTAGCGGACACTCGGTCTCGCCAATCGTTGAGACGAAGGTCATCATGGACGAGTGAATGCTTCGTCTGGAAAAAGAAGGGGCGGCGTGTCGGTTGTGTAGATGGTCGCTGTTGGCTAGCACCTGCATAGCTGGACCAACGACAGTAATGAACAGAGCTCGGGAACCAGGAGATAGATACTTGAAGCTAATGCAGTGTTACAAGATGCAAATAGTCTCCAAAGAGCATGGTACCTGTGGGTGGTAATCTCACAGGCATGCACACAATATGAGCTTCGACCACCTGTATTGAGACATAACAAGATGTAGTGTAAGCGAGGCACGCGCATGGGCTTGGGTGAACAATCTACGGGTCATAACTACGAAATGATGGCACCACTGCACTACGATGATTAGTCGACATTTTAGACCTTCTAGATCTTGAGCAGTGCTGCACGAGGCTTTCGGATTTACGAGTGCTACCGGTAGTGCAGCAGAGTGCTGTTGGACGTCACTTTGTCAATGCGGGAGTCCGAAGAACGGAAGCATTTTAGTGCTTTTCAGACATCTGAATGGGAGTGCTATCAGTCGGTCGACACGTGCAAAGTTGCAGGGAATGAGCGGAGGCCAGGCGTATGACAGAAGCTCCGTGGTCTGCAATCGGCAAGTCGGCGGGATGCACCAAGCCGGAACGAGCTGAATGGCGGCGGCGGCATCCGAGAGTCGAGCTGGAACGGCGGCAACTTATTTTGGCGCCAGAGTGGTCCCAATTGGCTCCTACATCTGCTGATTTTCCACCCCAAAGAAGGACACCTTTCAACCATTCCATGGCGGCTGGAGGTACCCGACACCAGTGAATACCGGACCACCCTCGCTTTCTCAAATTAGCGTTTGGTACCCCGTAAGAGTTAAGACAGCATGCCGGCATTAGACACTTTGGAGTGAGGTTTAAGGTACGGGAAGCTGGAGTGCAAGGCCCAGACATATCAGGGTACTTTGATATTAGTAGCAGGTCCCAGTGGTCGCATTTCAGGATCAGCCAATCCTCGCCAGATAAAGTAACACGATAATTACCTCGAGATACGGATACTTTGAGGGACCCCTCAGCTGCATATTAATCAGCTCGGGGGTGCCATTGCTACTTCCACGTTTGCCTTCCTGCCATATTCGTATACAGTTGAGGACAGATTCGCATGACTCTGTAGCCTGCCAGCGTCCTTTGACAGGAAGCGTCTAAAAAGGCCCGACAGTCCCGTTCTTCCAGAACATCCCACTTTACACTAACTCTGTCCTCTCTGCCCTGCTTACATCACCTTCTTTAATTCCTTCCTTTCAGTTGCTCCCGTCGAGCCAGGAGAAGAGAAACGCTCGAGGCCCCAGCTCATGACATTGATAGGGAGACAAAGACGACGCCACTTCTGCCACTTGCATCTCTGGTCTAAGACTTGAGACAAGAAACTGGATCGCCCCCCCATTTTACCTTTCAATTAACCTCCAACGTCCTCGGCCGTTTCTCCGAAACGAACCTCACCGAACCTAACTTGACCCTGCTTAAGCGCTGCAGCATTTCCATCGCAGCCTACCCAAGGCTCGGATCTGCGCTGCAGGAGCCCGGACACTCGCAACGTTTCAGCCGAACCTTTGGAAACTTGTCAACTTCACCAACGATCTCCGTTAGAGTTGCGCGAGCAATTCACAAGCTGGCAACCGCCTGTTCTTGCTTTGCAGCTGCATATTAAACCCTCCGATCAGCCACCCGTTCCGCGAAGCTGGGACCTTCGTTTTGATCACCATGAAGTCTGCCAGCAGATTGTTCTTCCTCTCTGTGTTTGCACTCTGGGGTTCTCCAGTTCAATGCGAGAGCGCCCAAGATGATTGTGCGGTATGCCGCCGTTTATTTTCTCCTTCTCTTCCTCTCGAGGGCCTACGTCACCGCTGCAGTGTCTGAGTACCGAATTTCTCTCTCTAACTCGTCGTACCAGATCTCCCCAAAGGCCATTGTTTCCGACGCATGCGCCTCGTACTCTACCCTCGATAAATTAAACACCAAGGTCAAACCCCTAGTCGACGACCTGACGAGATCGACCGACTTCTTCTCACACTACCGACTGAACCTTTTCCACAAGAAGTGCCCTTTCTGGAACGATGAAAATGGCATGTGCGGCAACATTGCCTGCGCCGTAGAGACGCTCGACAATGAGGAGGACATTCCCGAAGTCTGGAGGGCGAGTGAGCTCGGAAAGCTGGAAGGACCGCTGGCGAAACACCCTCCTCGAAAAGTGCAACACGAGCGCCCCGAGCGGCCGCTACAAGGAAAACTAGGCCTGGAGGTCGGCGAGAGCTGTGTGGTGGAATACGACGACGAGTGCGACGAGCGAGACTACTGCGTCCCCGAAGACGAGAGCGCGAGCTCCAAGGGCGACTACGTAAGCCTCCTCCGCAACCCCGAACGATTCACTGGATACGCTGGCATGGGCGCCGCTCAAGTCTGGGACGCCATCTACCGCGAGAACTGTTTCCAGAAGAGTTCTTTCCCGCACTCGGCATCCCTAGGACAGTCGCAGGTCCCCCACAAGGGTCCCGCGGCACAGGACTTCCGTCAGGTTCTCGAGGCAGTCGGGCGCCAGCAGGCCCTGGATCAGATGCGCGAGACGCAGCCTAATGCTCCGTTTGCAGCCCAGACTGGCCTAGAGGCCGGTGACGAGTGCTTGGAGAAGCGTGTCTTCTATCGTGTCATCTCTGGCATGCACGCGAGTATCAGCACCCACCTCTGCTGGGATTTCCTCAACCAGACCACCGGTGAATGGCAGCCCAACGTGGCATGCTACCGCGGCCGCCTGCACACCCATCCCGAGCGAATTAGCAACCTCTACTTCAACTACGCCCTCGTCACCCGCGCTGTCGCCAAGCTCGGTCCCTACCTCCAGGGTCGCGACTACACCTTCTGCTCGGGCGATATCGACCAGGATGCCGCGACGCGGTCCAAGGTCCTCGAGGTCACCGAAGGAGCGGCGAGCGTGCCTCAGATCTTTGACGAGAGCCTCATGTTTAAGAACGGTGAGGGTCCGTCGCTAAAGGAGGACTTCCGCAACCGCTTCCGTAATGTCAGTCGCGTCATGGACTGCGTTGGCTGCGATAAGTGCCGTCTCTGGGGCAAGCTGCAGACCAATGGCTACGGAACCGCGCTCAAGGTTCTGTTCGAGTTCGACAATGCCAGCGAGGATATTCCCGTCCTGAAGCGCACCGAGCTGGTGGCGTTGTTCAACACGTATGCCCGGATCAGCAGCTCCCTCGCGGCCATTAACAAATTCCGCGCGATGGTTGATTCCGAGGAGGCCCTCGCCGCTGCTGCGGCAGCCAAGGCGTCCAGCCCGATCCCCGACCGGGCCAAGAAGCCGCACAACGTGGTGACCTCACCGGACGCGGAGCCCAAGAAGGTCGATCCCGAGGACGAGTACGGCGAGGACGAGCCTCTCGAGGAAGACAGCCTGGCGGACATGTTTGACGAAGAGTTTGGCCGCATTTACAAGGCCTTGAAGTTTGTTGTCCGCCGATGGGTTCAGGCTCCCAAGACTATGTAAGTTTTAAAACATCACCACAGAGTAAAAACGGCGGGGAACAGAAGACTGACAACCGGCAAACAGCTTCAATGTTGTTATTTTCGAGATACTGCGATTCTACCAGTACTTTGTCGGCCTGCCCCTCACACCTAGAACTTGGCACTTTGAGCGGCCGGACGTAGACGAATTGTAGATGAGTTGTAGATTGGTCGGTTATTCCATTGTTTAGTTTTCGTTATTGAACATCTTACCATGGCATATCATTATACTTTGCATGGCCGGGCGCGGGCAAATGGCGTTTTGCTATTCTTGTTTTCACGGAGCTAGAATGCTCCTTAGACTAGTATCGTGACCAGTTTGTACATACAAATCGATGCCAGCACCTCAAAATTCGGCTTCCGTTTCTTGGTATCATGCAAATGTCTATGAATGCTTTACTTGTACACGCCGTCTTCGGCGATACTGTTCCTTCTCTTCTTGGACGAGTTATTCAAAGGGATGTGAGTGACAACGTTGCCAATTTTGGCCTTGACACCCGAGACATCAATCTGCCACTTTCGAATACCACGGAACTGCGGCGTCTTCAGCAGGCCATAGGTGCGCAGACACTCTTCTTCTTCGGGAAGCCCAAACGCCCAGCCGATGCTCACGTGGAACGCGTCGTCGACCAGCTCCGTCGCGTGGGCTTGGTACAAGGGCGGATGGCCGAAACGGACGGCGACATCGTTACATTTGTTGAGAAGCGTACGGAGCTGCGGGTTGCTGCCGGTGGTGCTGGTGTCACCTTGCGAGGAGGCGGCTGGGCATGCTACGCGGAGTACGAGAAAGGCCCGGTCCGAGTCTGGCGACTTGAAGAAGCCCAGGCCACGGGGCGATAGACTGAACTCGCCGGTGGCGGAGGACAATGAAGACGTCAAGGCGGAGAGGAAAGCGTCCTTTTGAGCCGTGGTCAGGGACAGAGGCCGCGAGAGCGAGATGTGGAGTGGCAGAGGGGCGTTGAGGTCCGAAGTTAAGAGCGAGGTCAGCTCCCGCGTGCCAAGCAGAGGCGCGATTTCACCCAGCAGAGAAGTGAGGAGAGAATGCTGGT